AGGACAATGTTAAGGGTTTGGATTTTTGTGAAAATTGTGTATTTGGAAAACAGAAAAAATTACCTTTCAAAACTGGTATTCATAAATCTACTTCTTTTTTAGAATATTTACATGCTGATCTTTGGGGACCAGCATCTGTAAATACTTTGAGTGGATTTAGATACTATCTACTAATAGTAGATGACTTTTCAAGGAAAATCTGGACTTTCTTTCTAAAACAAAAATCTGATACTTTTCAAACCTTTAAACATTGGAAATTAATGATTGAAAACCAAACAAATAAGAAAATCAAGGCTTTAAGGACTAATAATGGTCTTGAGTTTTGCAACTCTGAATTTGACCTGTTTTGTAAAGATAATGGAATATTAAGACACAGAACTGTAATATATACTCCTCAGCAAAATGGTTTTGCTGAGAGAATGAATAGATACTTATTGGAAAGAGTGAGATGTATGATCTATAGTTCTGGTTTTCCTAAGTTTTTTTGGGGATAGGCCCTAAAAACAGCAACCTATCTTATAAATAGAAGTCCATCAAGCGCCATTGATTTTCAAGCCCCTGAAAAGATATGGTCTGGAAAAACTCCTGATTATAGTAAACTAAAGGTTTTTGGTTGTACTGCTTATTCACATCAGAATGAAGGGAAACTAGAACCTAGGTCCCTAAAGTGTATTTTTCTGGGTTATGGAGAGGAAACAAAAGGGTACAAACTATGGGTTAGAGACCAAAATGGCTTTAAAGTCATTATTGAAATGTCATTTTCAATGAAAATGACATGCCTTGTGTGAAATCAACTGATCTTAAAACTTTAGAACCTACACAAATGAAAGAAACCATCCTGGAAAACAAAACTGATGAATTGAAAATCTAGATGGTCTAATTGAGGTGGAGACCTCTCAGTCTGAGGAAAACCCTAATCAAAATGAAACTAAAACTGAGGTGGAGTCTTCAGATCCCACACTTGCTGATTATCAGTTAACTAGGGATAGAGAAAGGAGAAATATAAGACCTCCAATCAGATTTAATAATGAAGAATTTGTCTCCTTTTTCTCTGGTCTGGACTTATTAAATTCTGAACCCTCTTCATTTGATGAAGCAAATAATTGTCCATATTCTGAGTTCTGGAAAGAGGCCATGAATGAAGAAATGAACTCCCTCATCAAAAATAAAACTTGGGTTTTGGTTGAAAGGCCTAAAAACCAAAAGATAATTGACTGCAAGTGGATTTTTAAAATTAAACAAGGGGACTCTAACTCTCAAGATAAAAGATATAAAGCCAGACTGATGGCCAAGGGTTTTACTCAGAAGGAGGGGGTAGATTACAATGAAATTTTTTCCCCAGTGGCAAAATATACCTCTATAAGAATAGTGTTGGCACTAACTACTCACTTTGACTGGGAATTAGATCAACTAGATGTCAAAACTGCATTCCTCAATGGGGATCTTGATGAAACCATATACATGAGTCAACCTCCGGGATTTGAAATAAAGTCTAAGTTAAATAAGGTTTGTTTGTTGAAGAAGTCTCTCTATGGACTAAAACAAGCCCCCAGGCAATGGTATATCAAATTTAACTCCTATGTGCAGACTTTAGGTTTTGTCAAAAGCAATTATGATTCCTGTTTTTTCTATAAAGGTTCAGGAGGACCTGAATCCATTTATCTGTTATTATATGTTGATGACATGTTGCTTGTCTGCCATGATAGATCTGAAATTAATTCATTAAATCAAAATTAAAATCTGAATTTGAAATGAAAGACCTAAGACAAGCAAAAAGGATTCTTGGAATGGAAATAGAAAGAGATAGGAATAATTGCATGTTAATATTGGAACAAGGCATATATGTGAAGAAAATACTTGAGAAGTTTTCAATGCTTGAGTGTAAACCTGTAACCTTACCCATTGCTAACCATTTTAAACTGTCAAGTGAAAGTTCACCTAAAACAGATGATGAATTTATTAGAATGGAAAAGATTCCTTATGCAAATGATGTAGGATCAATAATGTACCTAATGGTCTGTACCAGACCTGACTTAGCTCATGGCATTAGTACCTTGAGTAGGTTTATGTCAAATCCAGGTGAAACACATTGGCTAGCCATGAAGTGGATGCTAAGATACTTAAAAGGAAACTCTGATTTAGGTTTAATGTTTAAAAGAAGCAATGAAGGAGTAAATTTAAAAGGCTACACTGATTCTGATTTTGCTGGTGATTTAGATAAAAGAAGGTCAACATCTTCATATGTTTTCACTTTGTGTGATGGCTGCATTAGTTGGAAATCACAACTGCAAAAATTAGTTGCTCTTTCCTCTACAGAAGCTGAATATATTGATGCTTGTGATGCAGTAAAAGAAAGTCTTTGGCTTAGGGGTTTGTTAAATAAAATAGGTTTTGAAAATAATACTGTTAGAATTTATACAGATAATCAAAGTGTCATACATTTGAGTAAAAATCCTGTCTACCATGACAGAACTAAACATATAGATATAAAATTTCACTTTGTGAGAAACATGGCAGAAAAAGGTTTGATAAGTTTGGTTAAAATTCCTACAGAATTTAACCCTGCTGATTTTGGCACTAAGGTATTGCCTTTGAGTAAATTTCAAAATTGCTTGAAGATTCTGAATATTGCTTGAAATAGTAAAATCAGAACTTCAAGTGTTTAATATTTGAAAGATGTGAACTAATGTGTTCAATTTTTTTTTCACATATTTAGAGCAAATGAGCCAATAGTTGCTATAACTCTAGAGTACTAGTAGAGACCAAGAATTAGTTCAGCAAGGTGGAGATTATTATATTAGTTGGGTGACTCACCATTTCTTGCTGGCCCAGATTGAAACTTGTGGGCTTGATCTGTTTTGGAATTATTTTCGGGTTATAAGTCGTGCTCTTTGAGGAAACACGTATTTTGCCTCTTAAATGGTTGAGGTTCAGCCGTACATGTGGCTTGACTCTCACCCTTGGATGGTTGACTGATCAGATACTTACTTGGTTTTAGCCTTAATTCTAGATCATTCTGTCTCTTTTCAACTCTTCATCTCTCTGCCCTTCTCTCTGAGTGATAGATTAGGGTTCTTGGTCACTGTAATTCATATGATCTTGGTGATTTCTCAATCTGATGGTTTCTGATTGTGTTGTATAGTATGTTAACGATTGAGAGTGAGTGGGTTACATTTTAGAATAGAGGCGAAAGAATACTCGAAGAAACCTTTGGTTTCTTCGTACGTGGTGTACTGATTCTTGGTTGATACTTAGTGGATCTTGAGCTGTATCACCTGTTGGTGATGCTCAATGGGTGACTAGGTCGTAAGACCGAACATCCGGGCCCTTTTAGGGCAAAAACATATCTTCGTGTTCGATTCATTTTATTTTTCTGCAAATCTAATTTTCTGCAAAGCGTTTTATTTTTTTGAGACTAAACGATCCTTCGACTTAACACTCAGCCTGATATCTGTTTTATATATAATGTTGTTTATTTGACAAGTTTAATTTTCATATAGTCAACTTCAAATTTATCGATTACAGGATAATCAAGTTCATTTTCGTTTTACAAAAAATGGTTTTTCATTATATATGTCATCCTTTGTTTCATATGTTTTGTGCCTAATCTATAGTCTTGTAATCCTTTATGCAACAATGCTGGAACGAGTACTGCCACCCCATCGACCACACCGACTATTGGAGGAACTCCTATCACTGGTATCCCTATAGGTCCAGGCATTGGCCTTGGACCGATTGGAAGCGGGGGCTTCAACGACAATAGTTCCAGTACAACTGTATTTCAAAGCACTAACTTATTAATCAGTCTCCTATTTTCGGGCTTCTTGTTCCAAAGGAGGGCCACCAATACTTTAATTCCACAGTTGGCAGTAAAGAATTTTGCATTGAAAATTCTTCCTACCAGGGCTGCTTTTGTTCCCTTATAGCGATATGAAAATGAAGAGAACACAATACCCTTCTTTATAGACTTTATGGGGGCTGCTTTTGAGGGTAGTGGAACTTGTGTCTAGTTTCTATTAAGATATTGTCTTTGTATTTGTGTATATGGAGGCAGGAGTTTTTTTTATGACTAATGAGATGTTGCAAGTTGCTACCATATGCTGATTACCTTTCTGTTTGACTCGAATCATATGTTAGGTGCTTCAATCTACAATATATTAAATATCACATAAAGTGAGAATCATTTTTTGGACGATTCTAATCTTACTATAATTTAATTATTTAAATAATGCATTACTCTTCGTTTTTCAATATAAATTTAAATTATTTAACAATTTAGTTACCATCGATGTATATGTATATTTAATAGATTCATTTCACTTATATGCTTTCATTAAAATATGAATTCCTTATTATTAATTCTTAATTAATTAACATTCACATTCATTTAATTAATATTCATTTTTATTTATTCATCTTAGTGTTATTAATTCTAATTATAACTTAATTAGAATTTCACGTTCAGAAATATATTTCATTACTCACGTCCTTCTATGCTAATTAACATCCGATTTTACAGAATTATAAATCAAATAAATGATTTAACATTCATTATCACATATATATTTCTTGATATTAATTCTTAATTAATTAAGATTCATTCATATTCAAATATAACTTTTACAAAACTTATAAAGTACTTCATAATTGCACATTTAACGTTGACTAGTTCTATTAAAAAGAGTAATGTAAATAAGTAAAGGTGGTACTCTTCAGCGGTACATTTTTTCTGTCACTTATATATAAAAAAAAAAAAAAATGTGCACAGTGGAGAAAGTTTCTTTTGTCACCTATTTATTAAAAAATGTGCACACGTCTATGCCTTAGTACTGATTGTATAAGACTGACATTTAAGGTTAGCCCCCTATTTAGTAGAAATATTTTGAAAATTGTTGTAACACCTCGGAACCTCTATCTCGAGGTTACTTAATTAATTTTTTAGTCATTATAAAAGTTGATTGACAAATTATAATACAAAAAAAAATGAAAAAAACTTTACGGAATAAAACAAGTTATTTTATTGTCTCATAATATATCAAGTAAATTCAAACCACTAATGAAATATAAATTCATCAATTTTGAAAATAAAATTTTGATTGGAAATAAATTTTAAACTAAATGCTAAATATTGAAAGAAAATAAAATTCTTGATCCAGCGACATAGACTCTATCAGCAGTCTCAGCCTCCAACTCTGATCCATCAAGCATCTGTAAAAATAATTTAGAATATGGAATGATAATACAAATACACTCTGCATGGATTTCACATCAGTATTTTCACAATTTAATATAAAAAGCAAGTAAAATACTCATATAACTTAATTTTCTAGTGGGATAGAAACCTGGCCATCTCATTCTCAATATCTACTTAGGATATTAAGCCTTATGGCTGGTTTCTGTATAGATTTACATAATTATACCCTATGATATTACGAACAAGATCCTTCTTTGATTTGGATCACATAATAGCACACAAAATACCTAACTTAAAACATTAAAAAGTGAAAACACGAAATCACTTGGTATTTAGAGAAATTCATAGCTAATTCATTAAATTCCATGCATACTTGAGGTGCTTAGGACTGAAAATTCTTGCGAATAGATCTCGAACGCACTAGAAAACCTTTTTTTTTCTTTTCTTTTCTTTCCTTTTCGTTTCTTTTTCTTTCTTCTCTCTTCACGACTTTTTTCTTCTCTATCTTTTTTTTTCTCTCTCTCCGTCTCTCTCCCCCTTCTTTTCTCTTTATCTCTATTCTTTTTTCTCTACGATTTTTTTTTTTTTTGAGTTGAAGTGCACAAAACGAGGGTATTTATAGGTGTGATTATAATAATAATAATCTACCTAGAATTTTAATAGAACTCTTATTAGAATTTAAATTGAACTCTTAACAAATCTTACCAAAGAAAATTCTAACTACGTGAGGATAAGATTCTAGGGTAGCTGTGTTAAAATTCTAAATTTATCTAAACACCTTTATATAAAAATATATATATCTATAATAATTCCACATATATCCAAATATTAAATTCTAATTTCGTCGAAACTCTTACTTTCAAGGTGTAAATATGTTAAAATTCTAAATTTATCTAAATACTTTTATATCACATAATTCAATAATAATTTAATAGATATCCAAAATAAAATTAAAATTTAATTTCGTGTAAAACTCATATATCCAATTATTAGGAATATTAACACAATGTCCTAGAAAATAGTAAAGTTGCTAAGTTACTCTAAAATAACAAAACGTGCATTTATGCCTCATAATATATTGCATGTATGTTTGGGATATTACATCTTCGCCTTCTTAAAATAATTTCGTCCTCGAAATTTACCTTGGTTATCTAAAAACTATGGGTATTTAGCTTTAATATCCGCCTCATGTTCTCAAGTGGATTCTTCCCCCGCATGATTCCACTACTGAACTTTTACCAGCGAAATTTTTCTATTTCAAATTATTTGAATCTTCCTATCCAAGATAATTATTGGAGCTTCCTCGTAAGTTAGATTTGGATGAACGTCTAATGATTCAGGATTAATCACGTGGCCAAAATCTAATATGTATTTTCGAAACATAGAGACATGAAAGGCATTATGTACTGTTGAAAGTTCGGGAGGCAATGGTAGCTCGTAAGTCAAAATACCCACATATTTTGAAATCTTAAAAGGTCCTATGTATCTTAATTGGAGCTTTCCCCTTTTGCCAAATCAAATAACTCCCTTTATAGAAGTTATTTTTAGGAAAACTTTGTCACCAACCTCGAATTCAAGATCATTCCTTCTATTATCTGAATAAATTTTTTGTCGATCTTGGGCAATCCTTATTCTAGCTCGAATCTTTTCAATAACTTGGAATGTTCGCTCAATAATCTCAAGCCATAGAATTCTTCGCTCACAAGTTTCATCCCTATAAGTTGGAGATCTGCACCTTTTATCATACAAAGCCTCAAAGGGGGGCTATTCCTATGGTAGTCTGATAGCTATTATAATAGGAAATTTCTACCAATGGTAGATTTTTTCCTAGCTTCCTCCAAGATCTAGGACACATGCTCGAATCATGTCATCAAGAATTTGAATAGTCCTCTCCGACTGCCTAACTACCTGTGGGAGAAAAGCAGTACTGAAGTTTAACTTAGTCTCCATTGTCTTGTGCATACTTTTTCAAAATTTTAAAGTGAATCTCAGATCTCTATCTGATACAATAGAGACTAGGGTCCCATGTAATTTGATCGCTTCTTTAATATATAGTTGAGCTAACTGATCCATATTAAAAGTTATCTTTACTAGTAAAAAAGGATTTGACTTTGTCAATCTATCAATAATAACCCAAATTCCATCATTTTCTCTATTTGCTTTTGGAAAACCAACTATAAAATTCATGGCAATATGCTCTCATTTCCATTCAGGAATCTCTAGTGGATTTAATAATTCTGATGTTCTGCTTTCACTTGCTAGCAAGCTATGGACTTCTCTACAATAAAGCTATTTTTCTTTCCATGTTTTGCCAACAAAATATGCTTTGAAGGTCATTACACATTTTTGTTCCAGCAGGATGTGCTGCACATGGGGCGAAGTAAGCTTCTTCTTATATTTCTTTTCTTATTTCTCATCCATCGATACACACAAACTTCCTCTAAACATCAATGTGTTCTCTTCAGCTAGCTCAAAACTCTTTCGTTTGCCCGTGCCAACTTCACCTTTAATCTTTTGCAAAAAATAGATCACTATATCGTGCTTTCTTAATTCGATCTCGAATAGTAGGTCGAACTGTAGGGGTAGCAATTCGTGTTGCAATAGATGCTAGAGGTAAGATTACCTCAAGTTGTAAGTGATCTATATCTCTGAATAATGATTTCTGTATAGTGGGTAAAGCTGTCAAATGTCCTACTATCTTCCTGCTTAATGCATCAGCAACTACATTACCTTTCCTGGATGATAATGAATGGCAGAATTATAATCATTTAGCAATTTTAGCCATTTGCCTTGTCTCATGTTCAATTCTTTCTGGGTGAAGATATATTTTAGGTTCTTGTGGTTCGTAGAAATATCACATTTAGCTCTGCAAAGATAGTGTCGCCATATCTTTAGTGCATGAACTACTGCTGCTAACTCCAGGTCATGCGATTGATATTTTCTTCATGAGACTTTAGTTGTTTGGAAACATATGTGATAACTTTACCATACTGCATAAGTACATATCTCCGATCTTGCTTAGATACATCGCTACAGGTAATAAAACCTTCTGACCTTTTGCGTATGATCAAGACTGGAGTTGAGGTCAATTTCTGTTTTAGTTCCTAAAAGCTCTGTTTGCACCTATTCGTCCATTAGAATTTCACGTTTACTCTCTTTAGCTAAAACATTGGGATGTCAATCTTTGTAAACCCTTCAATGAATCGCCTATAATAATCTACTAATCCCAAGAAACTGCAACCTTCTCTAATATTAGTTGGCCAAGGCCAATCAGCAATTTCTTTAACTTTACCTATGTCAACTTCAATTCCTCAGGCTACAATTATATGGTCCAGAAATCCTACTCTATTGAGCCAAAATTTGCATTTTTTTGAATTTGGCATATAGCTTCTCTTTCCTTAATATTTCAAGAATAATCTTTAGGTGTTCCATATGTTCATCCTCACTCTTTAAATAGATTAGTATATCGTTAATGAAGACAATAACAAACTGATCCAAATAGTTATGAAAAAACTCAATTTATGAGATCTTTGAAGACTGTCCGTGCATTTGTCAAGGCAAAGGGTATCACCAAGAACTCATAGTGTCCATGTTGTCTTAAGAATGTCATTTGCTTTAATTATCAACTGATGATAGCCTGATCTTAAATCAATTTTCGAGAAGACCTTGGCAACTTATAGATGGTCAAATAATTCTTCAATTTTAAGGAGGGAATAATTTTTTTAATTATAATACGGTTCAGCTCTTGATAATCGATGTACATTCTCATTGATCCATCCTTCTTCTTTACGAACAATATTGGTGCTCCCATGGTGAGACACTAAGTCTAATAAAACCCTTGTCAAGAAACTCCTACAATTGTACTTTCAACTCTTGAAGTTCTACCGATGCTATACTATAAAGGGCCTTTAAAATTGGTGGCACTCATTACGAGGTTAATAATAAACTCCACCTCTCGATTTGGAGGCATTCCTGTAAATCTTCTGGAAATACATCTAAAAAATATCTAACCACACTAACTTTGTCGATGGTTAACTTCTTCTAATCAATGCTAGTCAAGGACACTAAGAATCCTTGAGCAAACTTCAATTCCAACAAGCGCTCGGCTTGTACTACTAAGTAGGGGTAGAGATTTCACCCTTGTTCTAAAGAAATAAAATTCTTCTTCATCGGGTCGTTGAAAAATTACATCATTCTCGAAACAATAAATGGTTGCATGACTTTTCGACAACCAGTCCATTCCAAGTATAAAATCAAAATCTTTCATGTTTAGGTCGACTAAGTCTGTTTTTATAATCTTCCCATCCATTTCTAAATTTAGGTTCCTCGATATATAATTTGCATTAAGCACATTCCCTTCTTATTGGGACCTTTTTCCATTCCTCTTAATATTTTCATACCATTTATGCTTGTTTAAAGAGCCAGTCAACTATTTACAACCTTCACCAATCTGGTCATCGTCAAAGGCTATACTAGAGCCTTCTCTAGAACTCCCTGATAAGTACCTAATTAAAATTCTACCACTGCTTTCCTAATGTCAGTTTTTAGCCCACATTCAAAACGTTGAGCTCATCACTCTTCTATATCCACGAGATGTGGGGCAAATCCAAATATCTCCTCAAACTTTTGCTCATATTCGGTGAGCATCATGTTTCTCTGCTTTAGCTCAAGGAAATCTGCTTCATTCTTGTCTCTTAAAATAGTGGAAAAGTACTTCTGAAGCACTATCTCTTTGAAATGTGCCCATTTAAGGTTACGCTATTGCTCCGCATTACGGGATCTATTAGTCATCTCCCACCAATGACATGTTCCTTCTCCATCATAAATACTACACAAACGATTTTTTGTGTGTCAATGCATTCCATAAACCTGAAGATACGCTCAAGATGGCGACGCCATTCTTTAGTAGCCAGTGGATCAAGGCCACATTCCAACACGGGGTGGGTGCATTTTGCACAATTGTTCTACAATTGACAATGATCCAGGCCTACCTCGTAGCTGTTGTTGTGTTTGCTGCTACGACATTTTTGGTATAGCAGCTAATAATTTTCGTGTTAAGTGAGCTACAATCTAAACCTTAAATATGGGAATCATATATTAGAAGCCATTCAAGTCAATTCAACTATTCTGACATAACTGGCGACATTAGAATACTTGAGTATATATAATGTTGTTTCTGTTCAATATATTCTTATTGTTTCCAATAAGATTTGACTAAATATGTTTTACATTTTTTTAGTTGGTTTGCAATATTGCTTTTCTTCTTATTGATTTTAATAACACACAACTAAAAAGGCTTCTGGATAAAGAGGGCGTCACAAGAAGAAAGCTTAAATTCTAAGCTCGCCTTAGGCAATTTAGCTCTTTTTAACAAAGCCTTTCATTCTTGTGAATACACAAATCAAGAAAACTCAAACAATAAATTTTCCATTATATTTTACATAATCACTGCTTTACTCAATTACTTTTCTAATTCTCATCATGGCTTTACGAAAATAAATATCGTAATAAATTTTTTGTAAAATATAACAATTCAACTTTCTACAAAGAAGATATATCAAGTTCAAGCAATCACTTGTTAACTTTAAAATAAATTAATTTCATACATTAGATCGTTGGTTAGAAGTTTATCATGCTGGTCCCGATATTGTGTCGATCAAAATTTATATAAATCTTTAACATACAAAGAGCTCTAAAGTTTTAATTTCACAAAGTCTACAGGAAAGATTGACTGGGCATTGATATTATGCTGTAACGCCTCGAAACCTATGTTCCGAAGGTTAATTCATTCTTTTAGCCATTATAAAAGTTGATTGACACATAATAATACAAAAAATTGAAGAAACTTTACAGAATAAAATAAGTTATTTCATTATCTCATAATATATCAAATAAATTCAAATTACTAATGAAATATTAATTCATCGATTTTGAAAATAAAATTTTGATTGTAAATAAATTTTAAACCAAAAGGCTAAATACTGAAAGAAAATAAAATTCATGACCAACTCCGATTCATCAAGCATTTGAAAAAATAATTTAGAATATGAAATGAGCATACGAATACACTCAATATAGATTTCATGCAAATATTTTCACGCCCCGTTTGATAGCCATTTTTCTAAGAATGGGAATGAAAAATATAGTCATTACAGGACTCACCCAAGAGATATAAAATCAAATATGGTAGCTTGATGTGATAAATACCGATCATATTTTTCATGTTTGTGATCGAAGAATTGGAATCAAATGGGGACTTAATATAAAAAGCAAGTAAAATACACATGTAGCATAATTTTCTAGTGGGATAGAAACTTGACCGTCTCATTCTCACTTAAGTCATACTCATTCTCAATCTCTACTTAGGGTATTAAGCTCTATGGCTGGTTTCTGTGTAGATCTACATAATAACAACATATGGTAGTACAAACAAGATCCTTCTTTAATTTGGATCACATAATAGGACATAAAATACTTAACTTAAAAATATTAAAAAGTGAAAACAAGAAATCACTTAACATTTAGAGGAATTCATAACTAATTCGTTAAATTCATTGTGTACTTGAGCTATTTAGGATTGAAAATTCTTGCGAATGGATCTCACACGCACTAGAAACCATTTTCTTTTCTTCCTTTTCGTTTCTTTTTCTTTCTTCTCTCTCCCTCTTTTTTTCCCTCTTTCTAACATTTTTTCTTCTCTCTCTCCCTCCCCTTCTTTTCTCTCTTTCTCTATGCTTTTTTCCTCTACGAATTTGCCTGAATTGAAGTGCACAACAGGAGGGTATTTATAAGTGTGAGTATAACAATGATCTACTTAGAATTTTAATAGAACTCTTAACTAAAATTTAAATTGGACTCTTAACAAACCTTACCAAAGAAAATTCTAACTACATGAGTATATATAAATATATTAAAATTTTAAATTTATCTAAACACCTTTATATATATTAAAAAAAAAAAAAACCCCGATAATAATTCCATATATATCCAAATGTTAAATTCTAATTCCGTTTGAAACTCTTATTTTCAAGGTATATATGTTAAGATTCTAAACAGTAAATACTTTTATATTAGATAACTCCATGAAAATTTAATAGATATTTAAAATAATATTAAATTTAATTTTGCATAAAACTCGTATATATCCAATTATTACGAATATTAACACAAGGTCCTAAAAAATAATAAAGTCGCTAAGTTACCCTAAAATATCAAAACAACATTAATGCCTCATAATATATTGTACATATATTTGGGGTATTACAATAGATTTTGTGAAAAGTGAATTTTCTAGAGAATGTGTACTTAAGAAATATGAAAAGATTTTGATTTTACATGCAAAATTATTTTATTGGGAAAATTTATAGTTGAAAATGAGGACCAAAAAATTCGCTCCACAGAAGAACCAATTATTTGCAATCAAAGAAAGATACATTTTGTACAATGTATCCAAGAAGTACAAAGATTTGTACCAGAATTGAGGGAAACATTACTATAGATAGCTGTAGCCAATTCCCAACCTGCATATTATCCAAAGAGAGACGAAAACGTTAAGAGAGGATGGAATTCTTTATGGCCACCCCGCTTTCAGCTTGAATGAACTCCTTAACCAACTTCAAAACTTCTGCCGGCTTCTCAACATGGGGGATGTGACCACAGTCGGGTATTTCACGTATAATTGCATTTGGTAGTTCACAATGCAGTCTCTGTGTCATACAAATATAAAGTCATGCTTCTATAATATCTCAAATATAGCAAAGCCAAAAGACACTTACCACACCTAGCTTGCTATCAATAATTTGATCATTTTGACCCCAAATTATAAGCGTTTTCTGCTTTACCTGCATAATGTGGCATTTTGTAGAATAAAGAGATTGTGTGCAGCTATGCGCACGAGATAATTTTCGTTAACAAGTAAAAGTTTATATATAGCAATACAAGTTTTCTCTTACGTGTTTAATATCACCACTGACGTTGTAGCCTCCACTAATCATAAAATCAACAGTTGCATCCTCCCACCATGGTAATAGACAATGTAGGCGACCAATCTGGGATAGTAACTCGAAAAATCAAATTTAGTCTCGCCTAAGAACATTAGAGTATAATATGAAACAAGAACCACATAAATGCAACTGCACGACATAATTACAAATGCTCACATTTGTCCAGTCAAGGCTGGTACTAAATGGTATGCTATTAAAAGCCAATGAAGTTGCATATAGGCGCAACAGGATACTCTTTAATACATACGCCTGTTCAAGAAATGAAGACGGTTTAAGAATGAAGTGTATGATAGTGGATTAACCTAAGGTTAAAATGAATTATAAATTCTAGAAAGAAATGCTCTTGTTATAACTTATAATAAAATATACTTAAGCTTGAGAATCAAGCAATATTTCTAATGCTATCATTTTGGAGGTTTACCTCTCAACTCTGAAGCCGATAAAAGGTTATCGAAATGGGAGAAGGGAATCTTTCTACACTTCTGCCCTTGCTTGGTACCAAAATTCCTTATGACCTTCTATTTTTGAGATTAGAGCAGAAGAACTCTGTAATGGCGGAGAAGAGTTTGACCCATTGATGGGAACAATGGAGAAAGGAATAGGTGATTCGACCAGAGACGAGGAAGATACCTAGTTAAAAAGACCTTAAGAAGGGGTACTGGCCAGCCTAACATAAAGAGGACTGCATAACTCACAGCAGAGAAGGGTTTGACCCATTGATGGGAACAACGGAAAAAGGAATAGGTGATTCAACCAGAGACGAGGAAGATATCTAGTAGTTAAAAAGACCTTAAAAAGGGGTATTGGCCAGCCTAACATAAAGAGGAATGCATAACTCCACGCTCCTCTTGGTATATGCTGATACATAGTGTCAGTTGATCGAAAGCTTGACGTTTTTCAACAACATTACCACGATAGTTGCAATTCGTATATTAGAAAAAGGATGACTAATTTGTCAACTAACTTAAGACGATTAATTATCTTCATAGGACTCGAGCATTCAACAAATACAACAAGCCCATCAGTGTGATTATTCTTGAAGCACTCACCCCTGTATATGCGACTGCTTTGGGTAGCTTTGTAAGGTTCCCTGTACCTTCTCCATAGACGCTTGCATCAATGAAAACCAGCTTATCAACCTGAGGAAACACAGAATCTCCTCGAACTAAGCCGTAAGATAATGGTGGCAGTATCAGAGAAAACAGTCAAAGTACAAGTAGTTTCACGTTCCCATGACTTACAGCTTCTGGATAGTTCACTACAAAATCAATTGCAACAGCAGCTCCAAGACTTGGGCCAACTAATGTCATCGGCCTCTTGATGTAGGATTTCCAAAACTATCGAAAACCAACAAAAATCAACCCAGCCTTTCAGAAAATAAAAAGGCTAATGCTAGATGCAATAATTCTCAACCAAGAACCAGTTGGCAGCACATCATAATTTCTTATATGAGGCATTAGAGTAATTATCTTTTGCCAAAATGAGCAGATAGCAAAGACCAATGACGTGACTTCTATCCCGGCATCAAGGGAAAGAAGTCACTTGATCTAGATATTTCTTTCATTTTTCTTTGTAAACGTAATATAAATGTCACTGACAGAGCAAGTGGATACCTGATAAAGATGCTCACGTTTTGAAGTTACATTGAATGAGCGAACCTTCTCTAATAAATGCGAGGAGAAAACAAAAAAATGGGCAAATTATTGCATAGAAAATTTGTGATTAAACTTGAATTCCCAATTGAAATTTGAGGAATGTAAGAGGAAAGAAGGGGAAAAAAACGAACAGAGACAACATGCCTAAATCAGAGAAGCCCCACCCTAGAATATCTACTGCCCAGGTCTCCAACCCAGCCTCCTCAAGCAATGGGAACATATATCTCCATTCTAAACAGGAGCTGAAGAATAAGAAGAGATGACTGTGGAAACACATAAAATGAGCAATGTTATCGTGTCAATTTCCTAGGATGCAAACCTGTCGAAGCCGTGGAGAAGAACCAATGGATCAGTATTGTCACTTGTCTTTGGCTTTACACAACTACTCATGATACAATTTTTTGAAAAACTTACCTACAAAGAAGACAATGGGACGTAAGCATGGAAGTATGATTATAAGCAACATTATGCAATGTCAATGAAGCTTTTTAAGTTAGATTGGTTTGAATATCTTTATAAATCTATAGGAAGACCTTGTAAAAGCTTGCCCGAGTCAAATAAATACTAAGCATTGTATTTAATAGTCACTTTTTTCTCTTGATGTCGAAAGAATACCCGAACACCAAAGAAGACTAAGCAAATACTACACCTCTAAGGGTAAACCTGGTTCAGTTCCCCTTCCCCTAAAATTATGAATTCAATGTAACAATGTTAACAATTAAGCAATATTCTTAATGAAATTGAAGTCGGCTATATGAATCCTTTTTCAGCCACTCCCTTTATCACATCTTTACTCCTACTAGAAGATTAATGACAATCAAATCCTTCACCACTAAATCCTTGTGGCTGATAACTTCTTTAGGTCTACACAAGTCATATTCCAACAATCTAACTCATCATTCCCTCAATTTATCCTTGATTCGTGTCAAATTCACTTGTTGATATATTCAAAGACACTTACAAACAAAAAGAACTAAAAGCTTGGAACTTTAAATTGCAATATTTTTTCATTAGAAGCATAACCTTTTTAGTTATAGAAGAAAACTACAAAATGTTAGGATATATGTTACCACGCAAATTATAAATTTTCGCGAGCTACCGAGACCTTTTGTGTAGCAACCAAACAGTTTTAAAGCAGAAATGCGAGAAGAAATGGATAAGATACACTAAATTAAAATACATTAGAATTCAATGATGAAAATCATAATACTTTGCAAGTTATGAGACCTTACAGGAAGCCATTAAACAATTCTAAATCAAAATAGAAAACCTAGCTCACTAATTTATAAACAAGTATTGGAATACAATAACACCTCGTAAAAACAGAAATTTCACAAGATAATGTGAGCTTACATGCACAGGCAGCCTCTCAATCCTTGAGGACAGTGTTCTGGCAAATGAGTCCTTAATGTTCTCAACTTCTTTAGGAAGAAATGATGGAAATTCACTAGCCAAGACTGTAAAATTCCTGTGGTTCGTGTATTTCTTGGCTTGGAATCCGGTGATAAGTGGAGCTCCGGCTGAGACTGAGAGGGTGGCGGTAATGAGCATGGTGGTTGGACAACCCGACTCCGAACTCGACCAACACGACCTGCCAAATGCTTCTAGAACTGCTTGGGAGTTGGGAGAAACTGGGTGAAACTGCCGATAAGGATAAACAGCGACAGAGGTCCCCCAATCTTTTTTTATTTTTTTATTTTTTTTTATTTTTTTTTTTAACAAGGTGTCCTATTCTAGACTAATCCTTGGGTCTGTGATCCGGCCCCTCTTCACACAATCCGGTTAATCGCAGGATGTGCCTCCAACTGGCCAGGGTCCGAGCGCTCCTCACCTGGTTTGACAAAGTGCCAAGCAAGCCAATCCAAGTTGCACCTTGCCTTCCAAGAATAATCCTTGCCTTCCAAGTTCCCACTTGCCTTCCAAGAATAAATCCTTGCCTTCCAAATGTTCCCTTGCCTTCCAAGAATAAATCCTTGCCTTCCAAGAGCCCCATGTTTCGAACTCACGACCTCTGCTCTGCCAAGTTTGACAGCGTCCGTCCTTTACCAGTGGAGAAGTGTCCTGGGGCCAGGTCCCCCAATCTTTTGATTGCACGACAGATTGATTTATTAGAAGACTTGTAATGTTTTAACATTCGTGTGGTAGATGATTTTCATCTATTTAGAGCATCTTCAATAGTTCTTTATTTTAAATAGCATTTTTTTTTCAAAATAAAAAATGTTGAAAATAAGGAATGGAACTTTTTTATACAACTCTAACCATACTCTTTGTATCTTCTAAAATTCACGCATAAGACTTACATATATTCACGTATGCTCGAGGCTTTTTCAAGACACCTTGCATATGGGGTATGCATGTGATAATGTGATCATTTCGTAGACCGTATATGCATGCTTATGTCAAAATGCGCAAGCATTTGTATTAAAATTGTATCAAAATTAGACTAACAAAGTCCCATTTTTATAATTAAAAATAAAAAGGTGAATTAAACCTAACAAACATCAAATTAGTTCAAATCACCTAACCCCATGAATTATTTATGTAGTAATCTTCTGTAGGATTTTGATGTTTAGAAAAATTAAATTTTTCGTAGAGTTGCAAGCTATCTTCGTCGAGCCCGAGCCTCCTTATGCAATCTTCCTCTAGTTTACTAGCAGGTGATGCTAGTAATGTAAAATCTTGAATTATTGATGATTGTGATGATGAGAAAGGGGGTTGACAAAGATACATTACCATGTACAAGATGTAATAGAAATTCTCGAGTTGAAATAAGGGAGTCTAATAAAGATAATTTTGTGTTGAATGACACGAAAGATGATTTGTACATATGAATAAGAAAAGATTGAATCTGAATCGATAAAGAGTTAGACAAGACCCGACTTAACTCAACCCGGGCAATGCAACGGGTCAACGGATCATTGGTTTCAACCGATAACCCCGTCATTCAATCGATAGGTCAATATCCGTCAAAATATATTGTAAATATTTAACTTATGTTATTTTGGTGATTATAGATCAATCTGTATGATAAAATTTAACAACAATAAATCATATATTGTGAAAAATTCATTTGCAACTGCTATTTATAATGATTATAAGGATGCGTTTAATTGCAAGTGTGGAATTTGCATGGAAAAAATAAATTCTAGGTAATTAATTGCCTAGAATTTATTTACATGGAAAATGTCAATTAAATGTGTTTAATTGATTTAATTTTTAATTTAGAAAATATTATACATGTCCGATTTTTATCGGTGGGTATATGAGAGAGAGTGAGAGAAATAGAGAATGAATTCCTTGAAGAAGAAAAAAAATCCTACTGTCCCGAAAGAAAATATTTTCCTTGATTTTGAGAAAAATATGATCATGTGACAAAAGTAGAAAAATGGTTTCCATGAAAAAAAATATCAGTCAAACAATACAAAAGTAAAAATTTGGGTGAAAAAACACATTTTTCATGGAATATATTGACAATCAAACGCATCCAAATATGAATTTGAAGTACTTGCTTTTGCCCAATTTATGTTCTTGCATAGTGAATCTTATATGATAAGTAATCTAGTGCTATCTTTCTATCACTGTAACGATCAGACAAAGGCATCTAAAGAATTAATTTGATAAGAGTCATCAATGTTAAGTATTAAATCAACAAAATATAGTCAGATACAATAAACTACAACCCAAGATTCAGTCAGCAAATGAAGAGACCTAAACAACAAGCAACATGGAAAGAATATCAAAAACCCTGAAAATCATGTGTCCTCGGAACTAAACAATTGAAATGGGAAGCAAACACCATACAACACAAGTAATTCTTTTAATTTTCATTCGGTGTTGGGAATTTTCTTTGCTGCAAATCAATTGGGAATAAGGCTCAATTTTTAATTTTTGGTGTTTGAGATTTCCTTGCACATAAGAGGCATTTTCACCTAAGGTCAAGTAACATAAGTGCATCTTGAAAAGTATGCATAGTAGGGAATTACCCAATAACTCATAGATTTGATATTTTACAACTAATCAAACTGCTAGGCAATTTGTTGTCAAATGACCTCTCCAAACTATGATGTTAACTCGATTTTAATTTTAGTCAGCTTAGAACAAATGACTGAACAATATATCGACACCACAAAAGGGACGACCCAACCCCAATTTGGATAAGCCACTCGAAGCGACTTAATTTAGTAGAGTTGCTCATGGCCCGACCCATTTTACTTGGATGGCTTAGCAATGGAACCCGTTTAGAAGCCCATTACTCTTTGTGTTGGGCCTTTTGGGTCAATACCTTAACCTAACATAACTTGCCTTATTTGGTTAAATGAACTGTGTCCTCCATTGCCTCCAGTGTGTGCGATGTGCGATTTTGCTACCTCTTCTTCTCCATCTCTCTGTCCATTTTCAGTTTGCTACCTTTGTGGTTAATCTTTGTGAGATCTTGGCTTTCGTTTGTTTGTGTGGTATTGAATAGCAATCGTCAAGGGGGAGAAAATCCGGTTGGGGTGTTTGGTCATTGCGGGGTTGTGGTGTTGATTTGTGGTGAACTAAGCCCGATATCACCTTCATTGTTGTGGGTTTTCACTCTACACTAACATATTCATAATCTTTCTATTGGAGCACATGAGAAACAAAGATTATCATATTATGAAAAGAGATGACTACGCTCTGGAAACTAAAATTCATTCATTCAACAGACTTGAATCTCATGTGAAGTGCGAGCTTATTATATGGAAATCTGCTGCCTTAACAAAATTCCAAAAACAGATACTAAGTATTTCCCAATCTGCTGCCTTAACTAATTACCTACCTTGAAAGTCATATGCTCTTCTTTAATAATCCCATTATAATGAAAAACAGAGACGTTAAAAAAAAAAAAAAAAAAAAAAAAAAAAAAAAAAAAAAAAAAAAAAAGAGAGAGAGAAAAAGTGGATGGTTCATCAAACTAACAAATCACATTATAATGGGAAAACGAAAATGAGAAATAATCCCAAAAGCTATAAACAATATGTTCTTTTAATCCAATTAAAATCAATTTTTTGACCGTTATTTCACTGTTTCAGCCGTTATTTTTGAATTTTTCTCTCACAAGTAAAACTCACTTTATCTCTAACGGTCAAAAAATTAATTATCAAAATTCTTACCAAACAAGCACTTACTCTTTTTCAATTTTCACTGCTTATTAAAAATTATAGAATCGACAACAAAAAAGAATATTAAAAGTCAAAGCAGCTTTATCAATCAAGAAAGTCAGAGCTTCTAAGTTACATAATTTATAGTTTTCTTGGAATATAACAAGTTAACTACAAGGAAATTCAGAAATTGAAGATTTATTCTTGGGAGGGGAGCAAACTGCATGAGAAGGCTGAAAGGTTTCACAGCATCATTGAAAAATTTTAAAAATTTTGGGTTTATATGTGCCCGTTCGGTTTACCTAAAAAATGGGCCAGCGAGTTTTTAGAAACCTGCCGGTGCAATAGGGTTTAGAACAAGTTAGTTGCAAAGTGATTCAAAAAGGTCACCCGATCTGGGTCCAATTTAACGGTTTTCGGATCGAATCGGTCAGTCTAATCTAAGTTTAATAACACTGATTTTGGGTAATGTATTTTTGTTGAAATTTTGAAAAAAATGTGTAAAGTTCAAGTATTGTAGTATTTATAACTTTAAGCAATATGCTTTTCTTTTCTTTTTTTCCTTTTTTTTTTTTTTGAAAATGTGAAGAATATGTATAAAGTTCAAATAATGCATTTTTATTTATTTCTTAGTTTAGAATATTTAAAATTGATAAACACATAATTACACATAGACATGTATATACTTGTAATGCTGGATGTTCGTAGTAACTTATTGCTATGCATTATTCATTTTAGAACCTTGTTATTTATTCTCTATTTTAATATTTTTCATAATTGACATAACATTATTTCTCTTTTTTAACATTACTTTTCTCTATCTTATTTTATCACTCTCCATTTCTTTATAAGCAGTGGCGGACGCAGACGTTTCGAATTGGTGGGACACAATCGAACTTGAAAAAAATACAGATTTATGTTTATCTCAAATATCACCAAGTTTATCATCATTTTTATCTCCAACATCATTTTCATCACTTTTATCTCGTGATCATCAAAAGAAAACCTATATTTACGTTTAAATTATTTTTCCATTACAATCGATTCAAGTGAAAAATACAAAAATCACAACAATTCTCAATGTTACGTCATCGATTGCACTCCAATCCAAACAAAGACAAAAATTACAACAAGAATCCATTATCATAAAATCACCAAAACAAGATAGAAATTGGAGCAATTAAGTGATCCCCAATTTAATTTGATAAGAAAAACAAAAGAAATCATCGAAAAGAAATAATTTCCTGAAGAAAGACACATACAACTTTTCATGAATGAATCTTTTACGTTCTTTAAAAAAATAAAACTTCATTCAAAGCTTTTAGATTTTTTGGGCTCAGGTTCTTCTGCTTCATAACTTATTCAAGTGAACTCACCAAGACCCACTATGGGTCCGCCAGTGTTTATAAGCCCAACAGGTGTGAAAGAAGTTTCAAAATACCAAAGAGCAAAAGTATAATATAAAAAGTGAGTTTGATTCTTTGAATATAAAGAGTCAAACACACTCTTCATTTTAAATTTTAATTATAGAGAACTTGTTGAAGCC